TTAGTTGTTTGAAAGTCTCTAGCTTGAAAAGGTGCTTGGGATTTTAGTTCTTTCATTCTCTGTGGCTCATTACCATTTGAGTAATGTCTGCTTGTTCACCCAACTGGCTCTAGCTTTCAGGAATAAGGGCCAAAACCTTTCAGGCCTGAACAATAACTAGGGTGGTCAGAGATCCCTGTAGTCCAATGTAGAAATCACACGCTGTTATTGTGAATCCCATGTATGCTCAAACTATTTTGCATGGCAGAGAGACAAAATTGACTGGTGTAGTCTGGGATGTGTAGGATTGTCTATGTTGTTTGCAAAGCTAAATTTCAGTGTCAGCCCTTGGCTATGGATTATCTTGGATGAGGAAAGACCAAAGGGAAGCCAAATAACGTGCAGGGATCAGCTGAACTCTTCTTCCTTTCCTTTCCAGCCCCACCTCAGGCCCCCTCTTCCTGCCTCATTAATTCTCATGTCTTGATCTACTGAGCTTAAAAACATGAGTGGAATGAAGATGAGAGGGAAGGACTGTGGGACACACATGGAAAACAGGTTGAAGAAAAGAGACAAAAACATCTAACATCACTTTACAGCTTGCAAATTGATTTCATTTACATTAGCTTGTATGCTTATCTGTTTAATAGATAAAGAAACTAAGTGCCAGAAATATGAAATGACTTATTTGTCTAGAACCACAGAGTTAATCGATGTCAGAACTGGGACTTGCATCTAAGTCTTCTCACTCCAAATCCGTTGTTCTTTATACAAAAGGCTAAGGCATCAGCCAGCACTATTAAGATATTCGAAGTGTTTTTCCTTTGAAATATACCATGATTACATTGCTAGACTTGAAATTATGGATTTTTCTAAGAAGATTAGTGTTATGTAAATATTAACTACTATCATCATTACTATTATTATTGCCACTAAAATCATCGGCTATTTAGGGGAATTCATTTTATTCTGTTCAATAGCCTAGTGTCTTTGGTCAATAAAATATTGTACACATGCTCAGGAAGCATAGAAAGCAGTTAGGTAAACATATGATGAAACATCATGTGATGGGTTCTATAATGGACTTATGCCTAAGATAGGAAAATAATATAGAGCAGTGGTTCCTAAACTTCAGCATATACCTGAATCACCTGGATGGCTTGTAAAAGCACAGATTGCTAGGCTCTGCCCTCAAAGTTTCTGAGATGGGGCCAAAGAATGTGAATTTCTCACACGTTCCTAGATGGGTGATGCCACCCATCAGATAACCATAGTTTGAAACCTGGTACTACTTCCATCTGTGAGGGTCAAAGAAGATGTTATAGAGGTCATACCCAGGTAAAGTGTAATGAATTAAAAAGTTTGCCTAAAAAAATGGGTAGAATGACATTTGATGTAGGTGGACTAGCATGCATAAAGGTATAGACAGATAAAACAGTAGACAGAAATTTGGTATTGCCACCATCAAAAGATAAGTAGACAACAATGAGAGATGAGTCTGAACCCGTGGAGGGTTTCATGTGCCCTATTCAGGCATGGTGGTTTCTGCCCTGTAGGCTGTACAGAGCCAGTGGAGGATTTGAATGAGAGAAGCACCTTGGTCAAGTTTGCATTTTAGAAAGTTGATGAATTCTAGTGCAAGTAGGGAAGCATGGAGGAAATTTCCACTTACTTAAATATGAAAGAACTCCTTTGAATATTTCTAATCAAGCCCAGAGATTAATCAGATGTGTGTACATCTTGGTATTGCAGTCAAATAGTTGATACGTCCCTGTGTGCCATGCATGCAATATATTAAGTCAAAGATGTTGTCCTTTCCCCTAGGCACTTGTGGGAGCCAACACTAACACATAGGAAACAACAGAGCATAAGGCAAGGCAGATTTTCCAACAGCAGAAAAGTGGAAGGTCAGGAAGGGACGAAGCAATCAGCCGGGGTTTCATAGAGAAGGCAGACACAAGCTGGCCTTGCAGAAAAGTTCCATTTGCTTGGCCAGAGGGAGGCATGGCAGGCAAGGGGGACCCCAGAGTAAAGGAACAGAAGGGGAACTAAACTTTGAATGCACAGGGACATAGAAGAAGCAGAGGCAGCTGGTCAACCTTTGGTAGAAGCTTTTCTTAAGACATGATGGAGGAGTGGATCCAAAGGGCTGTTTCTACAAGACAACCTTTGGGAGTTTTTTAGAAAAAGAATACATGAGAGCAACATAGAGGTAGGAAATAGAATGCCTCTCAATTATCTGCAATCCTCTTTCAGTGTCTTATCACCCAAGGATAATAGGAATCCAGGGAACAGAATATAAAGGCTTGTGTTGGGGGCAAGGGACAGGGAAGATATATTGGGCTTTGGTTCTGATAGGGCCAAAATGACAACAGTTGCTGCCCTGGGAGTTGGCCATTGTCTGAGAATGAGGTGGTTGGCGATCTGACAGCTTCATATAAAAGGCCATCTGCCCTGTGGCTGGGATGAAGGCCTTGGATGCCCTCCCTTTCAGCTCCCAGATGGTAACACAGTGCGTTCATGCAAGGGTAGACTTCCTGGGTCAAGTGCTTATTCTCATATTTGCAAATAGGGAAAAGATTTTGAATGTTGATTATGTGAGTTGCATGTTTCTTTTTCATCTCTTCACATCAAAACTTAATCATCTTTGCAGCATCCCTTAAGTACTTAGCTGAAACAAATCTACAAATTGATTTTTTTCTTAAAGTATCTTTATAAAAAATGGTGGATTTTTCCACAGTGTAAATTGGAAGTCATTGCTAAATTTGACATTTATATACCCTTACAATTTTCCAAAACTTTGACTTTCTGGCCAACACATCATCCTTTTCTTTGATTGCTGTACTTTTTATTTCCATTACCAGGAACAGCACATGATTTTTTCTTCAAGGTCATTGTTCCCAAAGAATTAAGATGTATGCCTTCACAGAGTGACTTCCTGTCTGACCGTGGTGGAGAGGCAAAGCCACCATGGGTGATGTAGGTTGAGGTAGTGGATGGGCATCAACTAGGCTTGTCTCTGCCTGTCGCTCAGTCCCCACACCAACCAGGCAACCATGCTGTTCAAATTTAACCCTCATCAAGTTAAATGTTACTATACACTGTAGACCTTTGGGAAGAATTGAAGTACAGCTCATAAATCTGAGATTCTGACATGCTTGACTTTGGGGTGGGAATAGCAGTTAGGATGCATATGGCTGGAAATACAGATAGCAGCACACCGGCTTATTCAAATATAGCTCTTTAAGCCCAGTGAGCAACCTTATTGAATTTATCATTAAACTACAGTTAAACACAATCAGTCTTAAATTTCCTCTTTCTAAAATTGTGCTTTGGAAGAAAAAAGAGAGAGAGAGAGAGAGAGAGAGAGAGAGAGAGAGAGAGAGAGAGAGAGGAACTTTGCCAAAGGATGCTTTCATGGGCATATGGCAGCCAAAACAAGAGGCCCAATTTTAATTGAATTATCGACTGTGTAATTATTTAACCTGTACCAGCTGGTCTCAGGAAGCTACCAGATTCCTTGGAGACCTTGTACTTCGCTAGAAACATAAGGTACCTTATTAGTAACTCCCCCCCCCAAAAAAAAAAGTGCCTTCTGTACCTGTGTATCCCCAACCTCCAAAGAACATAATGTAGGAGGGAAAAAATCCTTGAAGTTCATTTTTAATTTAAGAAGCAGCCCTCCCTCTCTCTGAGTGTGAGTGGATTTGCTAAAGCACCCGTAGTCCTCTGAGGAATGGCCAACACAAACAGGATGTTATTGCATCAGACAGGTAAGAGTAATTTCTCTAATTAGTCATTTGAGGTTTTATTTTTCACTTGGAAGTACTGGACATTTAATTTGTTTGTGATATGAAATTGACAAATTGACAGTAGCTACAACTGCCCCTCCCTCTGCCTTGCTGTCCTGATACCCTGTGGAAAGCACTGGGAGAGGGGGGTGTCTCCATGTAGACACTATGCTTCATCTATCAGCATCAGGCTAACTAAAGTACCTTCTTATTGACAAATGTGCCCTAATTACACATTCCCCACTTGTAATGCTACAATAACCCTAATGAGTTTCCACGATCATTTTTCTTTTAGATTAAATGTTTTTTTCTCAATCCTCCTAAATTTTGCAACAGTGAAATAATTCATAATACATTCTCATTTACATAAGAACTCGTTTCCTAAAGGTACAGGGCAAAATATTTCTAGGAAGCTGTATTTTATGAATTAAGATATGATTGAAAACAGCCCCTTGATTAAAGAAAGGGTTCATCCTTTAATTTTGTTTTAAAGCGCCCTTCTCTAAAGAAAGATTGATTGGCACCAAGTGTAGTTCCCATAAATCATAGCTATTGATTTTACATTTGTTTGAGCTCTTCTGATTTTATGCCCCCTTCTGTAATAATTTGTTATCCTGAGAGCCAGCCTCTGAGTTGGTGCTGGGCGTGAACCTGCAAGGTGGTTTCTTTCAGTTTAGTCTAATCTATATGTGAAACAGATGAGCTTTCAAACACAGAACCATGCTCCCCTAGCTTTTTATAACATTACCCTGGTATTTCCCTGGGCGATTAGTAAAATCCTAGGCGAGTGGCAACATTAGGGATGTTTGTGTAGTTCAATCGGTTTAGAGACAGCTGTGGCTCCTGGCGGCCCTGGGTGCGGCAGGAGGCTGGATGCTTCTCCCCCAGGCTTTTCACACATAGATTCGCTCTTAGGCTTCAGAATGCAAGTACAGTGGCCACCTTCTGGAAACCCTCAAGGTCAGAGCATCCTTCCACCTTCCAAGTAGCATAAGTGATAGGAGATAGAAGGTCCAGCCCTCTTTTTAATCTGCATCTGCTTAGATGCTTGTAGGTAGAGCTTGGGATCTCCCAGATCACCAAGCAGCCCATTTAGGGTAAAATTAGCTAAGCATTCTGGATGTACTCAGGTATCATTTCTTGTGTTTTTTTCTGGCCAGTTTGAATGAATGTCATGCTCTCATTTTAAATTGTTATTTTACCCCCTTTCTCCTCTGGCTTCCCATTTAGTACTCGGTCACATCCCTCAAGACCATCCCAGAACTGTGCCGAAGATGTGATTCACAGAACGAAGACAGATCAGGTAGGTTTCACCTCTCACCTCTCCTCCTTATCCTGGCTCTCAGAGTGTGGGAGCTGCTCCCCGCCCATTGTTTGCTCTGGCTTTCTGTTTTCATTTTTTTTATGGCTTCTCCACCCTAGATGCTAGGTCCTCCTCCAAACGCTGACAGGACAGGGAGGCCCTGATGAGGACACGGCTGTATACAAATAAGTGTAGGCGATCGTCTCGACAGCCCAAACCACAGTGTTCGCAGCAATTTACTGAAAACCCAACAACCATTGGTGACAAAACATAATGATGCAGGCGCCAATGAAAAAATGTTGGATGCATTTGCTACCCATATGGCCAGGCAGCCTGGGGGATGGTGCTTGGCCAAAGTCTGAAACCCTATCAGGGATGCGACATGATAGAATCTGCAATAAGGCATACTGTAACAGTTAAGATTAAAGCAAAGCTTTGGAGTTTAATAGTGCAAACTAAACAGAGAATTATGGCAGATAGATGAAAACCAGCTGTTTGACCTTTTCTCCTTGCATAGCCCACCACCCCCGACCAAAGAGTACGTTCAGGTTTGTTTTCCCCTCTGTAAATCAAATTAAACTTCCTCCTTTTCTCTCTCTGATGGGCAAACATGAAAATAAGAAAGGATATCGATGGGAATGATACCATAGCATCAAATTAGGAAATGATGTTTATTATTTTTCCAAGTAATTACTCTAAGGCATCACCATTAACCTTGCCAAAGCCGACTTCCTCGGATAGTAACTAGAGTCCTGAGAACCATGGGTGATGGAAGGCTTAAGATAATCCTTGAATTATGTGTATTACACTTAAAATAAATAGATGGTTCTTACCTATGCAGCTACTAGATTTCCAAGACTTTCTCACTGAAGGGACTTATACAAAGCTAATTTCCTTTTCTCTTGGCCTGTTTGTTTTCTTTTGACATTTTGCTTAGATGAGACAGGGAAAATAATTAGTCTTTCTAGGTTTGTTTATCTCTGTGTTGGTGTGAGTGTGTGTGTGTGTGAAAGTAATGCTTCAATCTTTGGGTCAGAAACATCATAGAAGATGGTTTTAAAGTTCAAATAAAACTTTTCATTTACCTTCAACTTTTAAAAAATATTTTTTTATTTCAAACATACTCAAGTTTCTATCCGGTTTAACAGAGGCTTTGGCCACAAGGCTTATCTCGGTGTGTGTCCTTAAAAGGCATCACTGGGGTCCCGCCAAAATATAAGATGGCTCTGTCTTTTGGTTTTGTTCCATCCACCAAAAGGGTGGATTACAAACAAATATTTGGTAATACGCAGTTACAATCGGCCCGAGTTTACACGTTTCCCGCACTCCACCGCAAATCTATATGAACCGAGTTAAAGACGGCTCCCGCGGAGTACGCGCAATTCACGCGAGCCGACTTAACTCGTTTCCCGCACTCCAAGTGGCATCACTGGGGTCCTGGACGGTGTTGCTAAGTGGTTAGAGAGCATTGTCTCACAGTCCGGTCAAGAGCACATCTCGCGGTTGCAGGTTCAATTCCCAGTCCTAGTCTGGGCAGGCGCTGGAGGCAACCAGTCGATGTGTCTCTCTCATAGCAATATTTTTTTCTCTCTCTCTCTGTCTGTCTCCCTCCCCAAACCCCCACTTCCTTCCACTCTCTAAAGATCAATGGAAAACATATCTTCCAGTGAGGATTTTTTTAAAAGCATCGCTGGGTTCTGAGTTGAACTTCTTTGACCACAGTGGACAGGCCGCCAGCCTCTGAGTCAAACGACCTGGTTCAAGTTAGCATTCAGCCTTTTATCAGCTATCCGACCCTGAGCCTATGACTAATTGATCTATAAAATAAAAAAGAGACTTGTTCTGCCAATGTTACCAGACTATTATTGGGATCAAAATTATGTAATATATCTGAAGGTACTTTGTAGATACAATATTTTCTTTTTTCATTAATTGGGGTTGGGGATTAAGGGAGAAAAAAAGAATAGCAAACACTTCAGTATTGCTTCATGTGTGTGCTTAGGTATGGTTGTAAGCACTTGACTAACATTAGCTCAATTACGCATAAAATCCCTGTGAGTTAAGCACTAAGTTGTTTGTATTATATAGATGGCCAAACTGAGACACAGAACAGAGAAGTTAAATATCTTGCCTAGAGTCATACAGCATTGGAGTTACAAACCCCAGAATACAGACTCTGCCTCTAGAGTCTGTATAGTACCTCTCAAATAGTGGGACTTAGTGGCATTCATTTAATTTTAGAATATTATCCTTTTAAAACTTTAAATATCAGCATTCCCCGTTCATCGATTAAGTGGTGAATTTCTTTTCTCTGTTAAATCTCTGCTCTTGCTTACCAAGTTAAGTAACTTAACTGAAGCTTTTAAAAATAATTTTTCCTGGTACTTGTTAATTCCATTTCTCTAGGTCATGTGACTTCTAGCCACTTCCACAATAGGTGATGTTAGACATTTCTTCTCTGGTTGAGAAGGAGGCTAGGTTCAAGTTCAGTAGCTTTGAAACTTCACCCAGAGCGAAGACCCAGTGCTCAAGATAATCAGAAATAATCAGACCTGATAGGAAATAGATAGGGGAAAAACTCTCATGTAATCACATGTACAATCCAATTTGATAGCCATTTTGCGGCTGGCGAACCACTTTCTAATAGAGAATGGGCCTAGAAAAAGAAACAGGTGAAAATACCCGCCTCTCCATAGCATTGTGTAGAATGGTCTGTGGGCTCGTTTGAAAGAAATCTCAACGTAGCAAAGTTTTCACAGCCCATGTCAGAAAGAAGTGAGGCATTCTCCATGAGTTCCACGGGCATACCCACCTCCCGCAGCCCTCCAGACTTTCTGTCAGACACTGCTCCGGGGTGCTTGCAAATTTCCTTCTTTATGGTGGTTTTCCCAACAGATGGCAACAGAAAGCACATTGGCTTCTGAGAAGAGTTCACACCTTTCTTCTGGCTGGGGCACCCTCTGCGGAAACTTTTCCCTAAACCTCCTGGCACTTAGAATTCACTCCACCTGATAAAGACATCTCTCTTTTCCTTTCTAAAGTTTGTTAAGCACTTTCTTCTTTGTGTAGGTTGTCAAATGTTAACGTCCAGCCCTGTATTAACAGGTTCTGACCAGATGGTCTTGGATCCATTTGTTCTTTTATTTATTCTTCAGCAAATAGTGGTTAAGTGTTCTCTGTCCTGGGCACTGAGGACACAATAACAACAAGATGTAGACAAGACCTCACACTCTAGCAGGAGCTTACATTCTAAGGCAAGCATGTCAAACTCAAAGGCTAACATGGGCCAAATAAACGAGGCCTGCGGCCTGTGGGCTGCGAGTTCGACATGCTTGTTCCAAGGGGTAACAGACAAAGGGCAAGCAAATGAGGAACTAAGCCAGATCATTTCAGAGAGTGATAGGAGGTGACTTAAACCATGTGATAGAGTAATTGTAGGATTCGTGGAGAGGGGGAGGGGAGGGGGGGCGGTCAGGCAGTGTTAGAAGGGCCCAGCCACATCGAAACCAGTGAAGAACACTGAAGGCAGAGGAATGAGCGAGTGCAGAGTCCCTGAGCCAGCAAAGAGCTTCCCATGTGCGAGGGAGAGAAAGAAAACCTATGTGGCTGCAGCATGATGCTCAGAGTGAGGACAAGGTCAGGGTCGGGCTCTATAGGGCCCCGTCCATCACACGTGTGGAGTTCAGATTTATGCCAGGTACTGGGAAGAGCGCCATTAGCAGGGTACAATTTTTGTAAAACCCTGTTACCTGGAAAGAGGCCTCAGCACATAGGATCATAACTCTCAAGGGAAGAAGGAACCCTAAAAATCATCTAGTCTGAGAGAGAGAGAGTGCAAGTGAGATTGCCAGTAATAAAGCAAATGGGTAAAATGTTGACAATTGATGAATGTAGATAAAAGGTATACTGTGTTCTTTGTACTATTATTTTTTCAACTCTTCTATAAATGTACTTACAGTGAAAATTTTAATTATTTACAAATAAGTTTTGTAAAAGGAAAGAAATTCATATAGTCCTAAGTCCATCAGATCTTTGAAGGTGATCCTTACTGTCCCTCCCAGGGGGTCATCCAGCCTGTACTTCATCACCTTGGTGACACAGAGCTCACAGCCTCATGAGTCTGCCCACCCATAAAGGTTCATTTTTTAAAAATTATAGCTAATAATTTATTGGAATGACATTGGTTGATAAAATTATATAGGTTTCAAGTGTACAGTTGTATAATACATCATCTGTATGGTTCATTGTGTGTTTACCACCCAAAGGTAAAGAGAGTCAAATATATGGCGACAGAAGGTTAATATTTTAGTTCAGCCAAAATCAGTCTCTCTCAAATCTTCATCCCTTAATCCCGGTTCTTGCTTTGGAATAATAGATAAGGACACTCCTCCTGGGCAAAGGTGCCACTAAGTGGAGATGGCAGTCATTCTCAGTCTTGTCTTCTTCAGGTTAAAATTTTTCTCCATGGTTTTCAGTGTATCCTGTTCATTCTTCTTGCACTCTCATGGATGACTGTGGTTTATCAGCATCCTTCCTAAAAGTGCAGCACCAGAACTGAACCCGTGGTTTCTCCATGCATGGTCTGATCAGAACCAGTCAGCCCCACAGATCAACCCCCTGGACTTACCATCACCTTTAGCCTTCCCAAGTGGGCTGCAAAGGCAAGACGCATGCCAGTCTTTTCTGTCTGTTTTTCAAGTGTTCTGAGAGGAGCAGGCATGTCAGCTGAGCCTAGTTGGTGGCCATTGGAAGCCACTCTGTGAGACATGTACCCCAGGACTCACTCCACTTCATCCCTGGTCCCTGGGTCAGGTCCATGGTGGGATTTGAGAAAGGCAGATGACAGAGTGTTGTCAGAGTGTTATAGTGTCTCTGTAACTTTAACTAGCTCACCGATGCCCAACCGGTCTGCCCTGGAAGTGCCCCTCCTCTGGCCAAAGGCTTTGATTCCTGTAGAAATCTATATTCTCCCTTGGCATTAATATTTTAAATTGTTCTTC